GATTTATTCTAAGCATGCGTCTGTAATCGCTATATAAGCGTTTGCAAACTTCAATGATGTGTTGTTTACTCCACATCGAGCCATTACTTTCTCCTGGTCTACAAATAAGTTCTGGTTATATTCGATGTTCTTTTCTATTAACTGTTTAAGTGTGAAGATTACGTCTGTGCAGCTTCTATTTCTTCTGAAACCCATCTGTTCTTCTGTCAACTGTGGTTCTATCACTGGTCGCAGCCTCGTTTCTATCATCTTCGCATACATTTTCCCAACATGGCTTAAAAAGAGAGATGCCTAAATATTGACTGCATTCTCGCTTGCTTCCCTTGTTCGTCCACAATGGTACAACTTTTACATGTTACCAGTCAGTGGGAGCAGTTTCTAATGTTGCTTTCACCTGCTACTTGGATTATTTCTATTGGCCATCTGTGCATCTCCTGGTGCTTTATATTTGGGGGACTGCCTAATGACTTTAAACTATATCAGTAATCGGTATATCTGGTTCTAGCACTGTTGCTTTGAAGTCTTTGGTTGTTCTTTCCTGGCAATCTGCTATGGGGTTGAAGAGCTGACTGAAGTATTCTCTCCATCTTTCAGCTATCTCTGGTGGATCTATTTATGGTTTTCCTGTTTTATCGTTAATTATTACTGTTGGGTTGTAGCTCTCATCTCCTTTCTGCATAGTTTTTACTACTTTGAAAAAATGTTCCACTGGCTGTTTTTTTGCTTTTGGCTAATGACTATCCAAAACGTTGCCAGGATTCTTGTTTTGCTTTCTTGATCCTCTGGTTGGAGTCTCTTTGTTGCAGTCTATAGCTCACATAATCATCTTCTCTTTGATTTTATCCACATATTATATATTACAGATGCGGATGAGATTTCTCTTAAGGTCTGAATGATCTTAGAGACTGGACATGAAGGGAATTCTGACAAGTCATATCCACATTGATAATGGACAGACACAAGTGTTTGCCACTGATCAACAAGAAAATACTTCTTGAAGGCAGGAAGAAAACATGTCTCTACCCTGTACAGCTGGGGAAAGACAGGAAATCTTAGATTAGGAACCTGGAAGTGGACAAGCCGAGAGTAAAAGAGAAGCCCAACACTCTGGTCTTGGATGACTCTGGAACAATTGAAAGGAGATTCTCAGCTGATGATCGAAGCTTCAGTGCCAAGAAATGCCACCTTATTTTCTACAGGAAACCTTGAGTTTCCTAAAGATTTGACTGTCCACACTGACTTGATTTTGTGCCCTGATCCTGGAAGGAACTATGTTAAAGAGAAATCTACCCAAACAATTTGTGAAGGGAAAGACAAGATGCACTATGGACACTCTTCCAAGACATTTTCAGTTGTCAGTTGCACTCAGTTCATGGGATCATGATGAGTAAAAACATTCCATAAACAAAGAGGAGACTGGTGACAGATTTTTCAAGGATCTGTGGATGAAAAAAAAAAAAGAGGATCCAACCTGACTGCCACTCATCCTTTGTGAAGATCACTTTATGCACAGAGGTTGTCAGTCAACAGTGCAGACTAGTCAAAGCATGGATCTTTTACTATCCAGTGGAAGAAGGAACCTCTAGATAAACAGACATTATTGCCGGGTATGCCCCCATGTTGCTACGGCTAAGGACACTAAGGACTTATCCTGAACACCATTGCTGGGACGGCTATGCAGCCAAGAGGTGTACTAATATTCTTGAAAATCACTGAGTGTGTAAACATTGGTCCTGGCTATGACCAGCTTCAATGAAGGGCCTATGTGACGAAACATCTCAGTGATTGCAGAATTTAGTACGTTAAAAAATTTCTTTGTTTAATAAAGAAACTAAGAATTATACTTACTAAGCACTAAGCCCCAAATACTACAGCCATGTAGGATTCAAAATGTTTCCAGTTCTTAGCCCAGACAAAGCAACTAGTTCTTGTATAATATTACATAAGATTACTACCCAGTTCACCTGAGGAAACCAGGATGTCAGACATGTTACATAATCAGCCCTTCTGATCCGGCCAACTCAAGAGAGTCCAGACATTGTGTCTCCACACAAATGCACTAGATCCCAATGTATTCATCCCCACGCCGCTTAACGGCAGAAGTAGTTGATGATGATGATGACAAAACACAACAAACGATACACTCTTCGCCACGTAATGTACCGGAAATGCCCTATTCCATCTTATCACTGTTTAAAATGTCTATTAATTTTGGAAAACCTCTAAGATATTAGACTGTCACGTTATCTTTGAAATGGGGGGGGGGGGGGGGGGGGGGGGGAAAATAACATACAAGCACCCCACACTGTGCTAGTTTTTGAGAACCGGCCAACTCGAGAGAGTCCAGACATTGTGTCTCCACACTGTGCTAGTTTTTGAGAACCGGCCAACTCGAGAGAGTCCAGACATTGTGTCTCCACACTGTGCTAGTTTTGGAGAACCGGCCAACTCGAGAGAGTCCAGACATTGTGTCTCCACACTGTGCTAGTTTTTGAGAACCGGCCAACTCGAGAGAGTCCAGACATTGTGTCTCCACACTGTGCTAGTTTTGGAGAACCGGCCAACTCGAGAGGGTCCAGACATTGTGTCTCCACACTGTGCTAGTTTTTGACAACTTTCAGTGACACTGAATAGAACCACATGGCCCCAATTCAGAAACTTTGATCAGTAGGGGCAGTCAGGAATTCACTGACAGCAATAATGAAGGTTAATTGTAGTTTGAAAATACCTCAGGGGTGTGGCATAAATCCTCTCCTGAAGGAAAGAGTTTGATAGGAGCAGCTAACTCTGCTAGGGGAAAGTTTCATACAGTGAGGAGTCTAGAATTGACTTCAGACTGCTGTAGCATGCCGACTGAGAGCTGCACTAGAAAGCTTTGCTAGGTGTGTGTGTCTTTTTAGCAAATAGCTGGAATTTTCAAGATATGATTAAGTATTATTTTTACTCTTTTATTGATCTGTTAGGAGTCTAGCCAGTCTTCTCTGCCTTCCTAACTCATAAAAATACACATTCTGCTGGAAATATTTCTTTGTGAATATGCAGCTATCTCTATTGGGGAGCTGGTAAACTATTCATATTTCTTGTATGTCTGTCTTACATGTTTTTCAGTGTATTTTTTTCCTATTTATAAAATAAGACTTGAACACTGTTTGAAAAAAAAATTAAATAATAATGTTTCAAACATCAACAAAACCACTAAGTTGTTTTGTATTTAAGGCCCAGAGGAAGCATTTGATTATATTACTGGATTTGTTTTTAGTAGGATCATTAGAAAAGGATTGTTTGCCGAGACTCATATCACTAGATATAGAAAATCCAGGGCTTGTCAAAAGCAAAAGAAGCTACTTATGCTTGCGGTTACATGCAGTATTCAGAAGTATGGTGCTGATGATGTGAATGGTGTGTGTTTGTCTGCTAATGGATGTCCTCAGGCAGGTATTATTTCACAAGCACTATCTCCCCCGTGTGGGTTCCTGGGCCCCATTATAGGGAAAACAAGAACAGACCCACTGCCTCCCCAAAAAGCATGTTGTAAGAGTCGACTAACTGGGGGATTCCTTTGAAGTCGGAGTGCATTTGCCTGAGAGGCAAGGAACCAGCAATCTGCATACAAATAAGTCAGATCTGTAAAACAGATGCACACGCAAAACTCAGGTCCTGGAACAAGGCCAAAGTCCAGAAATGGATAAACAACCAGGTCTTTCCACTGGAGTTTAAAGCCGGTGAACGCAAACAACAAACAACAAAAGCACTATCTCCACTAAAAATGAAGGACATTCACAATGATAATGTACTGATTTCATCCAACAAAAGGAAACTGGAAAAATGTATATAATAAATTGCTCCCGTTAACACTGAGTTTGTTGATGTTTCTGGAACAGCTTCATTTGTTGCTACATTTTTATATGTGGTAATGTTTATATGTTGACTCTCTTCTTCTTCTGTCTTGTATCCCCCGACAGAGAATAGGCCCTCAACCAACTCACACCATATCCTTCTATTCTTGACTATTCTCAGAACTCCAAATTAGTGATTCTATCATACCATTGAATTTCCTTTACTCTGTGCAGGCACCAGTTAATGAATGTTTATAGTTATTAGTAACTGTTTAGTTGTTCTCCATTTCCTGCTCCATACAGCAGTACACCAGTATGACATTAGAAATAACAACTTTAAATTTACTATCAGTTTTAATTTCTTTTGATTGCAACACATTTCTTGTGCTATAAAAGCTCCTGTTGCCTTTTGTATTTACATTATAATATATCTATCTGTTCCTCCATCTTTATCAAATTACTGCCCAAAACAGGTGTATAACTCTACATCTTGGAGTGAGATACCATCAGAAGAAATCAGATAATGATTTGCCTGATTTATTCTCATTATCTTTGTCTTTCCCTTAAGGATTTTTAGATCTGGTTGTGATCTCGCAGCAAGTACGTTTAATTTATCTTGCATCTGATTCCGTAAGTGGGACAGAAGAGCAAAGTCCAACATCAAGCTGTTTTGTAGGGGTTCACTGAATTCCATTCCTAGTCTCAGCAGTTGCTGTCTTCATAATCAAGTCTATTGCCAGTAAAAATAGGAGGCACGACAAAAGACATCCCTCGCCACCTGTTTTTATTTCAAATGGAGCTGTTAGCTTTCCCTCATGAAAAACACCACATTTCATGTCTTTGTATGTCACATGGGATGCCATAGTGAAATACCCTATCAATGATGCTGACTCTAAGAAATGCATTTATTTTATGTCTGTCTGAAATAACCGTTTTAGCTGTATTTTTTAATGTTGTACTTATTTATCTTAACAATGATATATTATTCATCATAATATGTTGCAAATTATTCAACCATAACATGAGTGTAAATCTACTGATGAAAATAGTCAACAAATATAAAAAAGGCCTTCTGGACTTCCACAAAAATGGGATTTCTATTGCCTCATGTGCCTGATCTAGAAACAGCAACTAGTTGTGGCTGGAGATTTCTTCAGCTAGACATCAGTCCTTGTCTGGACATTCCTGCAACAAAAACAGTGCTAACTGATACAGACTAGCTGAAACATCTCATTATAGTAAAGACTGTGGCTGTAACATCTCATTATAGTAAAGACTAGGGCTGAAACATCTCATTATAGTAAAAACTAGGGCTGAAACATGTTATTATAGTAAAAACTAGGGCTGAAAAATCTCATTATAGTAAAGACTAGGGCTGAAACATCTCATTATAGTAAAGACTACGGCTGAAACATCTCATTATAGTAAAGACTAGGGCTGAAACATCTCATTATAGTAAAAACTAGGGCTGAAACATCTCATTATAGTAAAGACTAGGGCTGAAACATCTCATTATATCAAAGACTAGGGCTGAAACATCTCATTATAGTAAAGACTAGGGCTGAAACATCTCATTATATCAAAGACTAGGGCTGAAACATCTCATTATATCAAAGACTGTGGCTGAAACATCTCATTATATCTAAGACTAGGGCTGAAACATCTCATTATATCAAAGACTAGGGCTGATACATCTCACTATATTAAAGACTAGGGCTGAAACATCTCATTATATCAAAGACTGTGGCTGAAACATCTCATTATATCAAAGACTAGGGCTGAAACATCTCATTATATTAAAGACTAGGGCTGAAACATCTCATTATATCAAAGACTGTGGCTGAAACATCTCATTATATCAAAGACTGTGGCTGAAACATCTCATTATATCAAAGACTAGGGCTGAAACATCTCATTATATCAAAGACTAGGGCTGAAACATCTCACTATATTAAAGACTAGGGCTGAAACATCTCATTATATCAAAGACTAGGGCTGAAACATCTCATTATATCAAAGACTGTGGCTGAAACATCTCATTATATCAAAGACTAGGGCTGAAACATCTCACTATATTAAATACTAGGGCTGAAACATCTCACTATATCAAAGACTAGGGCTGAAACATCTCATTATAGTAAAGACTAGGGCTGAAACATCTCATTATAGTAAAGACTAGGGCTGAAACATCTCATTATATCAAAGACTGTGGCTGAAACATCTCATTATATCAAAGACTAGGGCTGAAACATCTCATTATATCAAAGACTAGGGCTGAAACATCTCATTATAGTAAAGACTAGGGCTGAAACATCTCATTATAGTAAAGACTAGGGCTGAAACATCTCATTATATCAAAGACTGTGGCTGAAACATCTCATTATATCAAAGACTAGGGCTGAAACATCTCATTATAGTAAAGACTAGGGCTGAAACATCTCGTTATATTAAAGACTAGTGCTGAAACTGTTAGACTGTGGTGATATTCGGTAAAGACTGTGGTTAAACTGTTTGACTGTGGTGATATTCGGTAAAGACTGTGGTTGAATTTTTTGACTGGGGTAATATCTGGTAAAGACAGTGGTTAAACTGTTTGACTGTGGTATTTAGTAAAGACTGGTTAAACTGTTTGATTGTGATGATATCTGCTAAAGACAGTGGTCGAAACGTTTGACTGGTGGTATTTGGTAAAGATTGGTTGGACTGTTTGACTGTGGTGATATTTGGTAAAGACAGTGGTTGAAATGTTTGACTGGTGGTATTTGGTAAAGATTGGTGGAACTGTTTGATTGTGGTGATATTAGGTAAAGACTGTGGTTGAACTGTTTGACTGTGGTGATATTTGGTAAAGACAGTGGTTGGACTGTTTGACTGTGGTGATATTTGGTAAAGACAGGGGTTGAACTGTTTGACTGTGGTGATATTAGGTAAAGACAGTGGTTGGACTGTTTGACTGTGGTGATATTTGGTAAAGACAGTGGTTGAACTGTTTGACTGTGGTGATATTTGGGAAAGACACTGATTGAACTGTTTGACTGTGGTGATATTTGGTAAAGACACTGGTTGAACTGTTTGATTATGGTGATATTTGGTAAAGACAGTGGTTGAACTGTTTGATTGTGGTGATATTTGGTAAAGACACTGGTTGAACTGTTTGACTGTGGTGATATTAGGTAAAGACAGTGGTTGAACTGTTTGACTGTGGTGATATTTGGTAAAGACAGTGGTTGAACTGTTTGACTGTGGTGATATTTGGTAAAGACACTGGTTGAACTGTTTGAATGTGGTGATATTTGGTAAAGACACTGGTTGAACTGTTTGACTGTGGTGATTTTTGGTAAAGACACTGGTTGAACTGTTTGATTGTGGTGATATTTAGTAAAGACACTGGTTGAACTGTTTGATTGTGATGATATTTGGTAAAGACACTGGTTGAACTGTTTGATTGTTATTATATTTAGTAAAGACAGTGGTTGAACTGTTTGATTGTGGTGATATTTAGTAAAGACAGTGGTTGAACTGTTTGATTGTGGTTATATTTAGTAAAGACAGTGGTTGAACTGTTTGACTGTGGTTATATTTAGTAAAGACAGTGGTTGAACTGTTTGATTGTGGTGATATTTAGTAAAGACAGTGGTTGAACTGTTTGATTGTGGTGATATTTAGTAAAGACAGTGGTTGAACTGTTTGATTGTGGTTATATTTAGTAAAGACAGTGGTTGAACTGTTTGATTGTGGTTATATTTAGTAAAGACAGTGGTTGAACTGTTTGATTGTGGTGATATTTGGTGAAGACAATGGTTGAACTGTTTGACTGTGGTGATATTTGGTAAAGACAATGGTTGAACTGTTTGACTGTGGTGATATTTGGTAAAGACACTGGTTGAACTGTTTGATTGTGGTTATATTTAGTAAAGACAATGGTTGAACTGTTTGACTGTGGTGATATTTGATAAAGACAATGGTTGAACTGTTTGACTATGGTGATATTTGGTAAAGACTAGTTGAAACCTTGTATCTGTGGTGCTAGTCAGTAAAAACTGTGGCTGAAACATCTGACTGTTTCTGTGAGCATTTGTCCTGCCCCTAGTTGAGGACCTAAGTGCTAGCTTGTGTTCAGTCATTTCATTCACAGAATGTGATAGTTACACCATGTCATAGAGTTCCAGTCACAAAATGTTTTAGTTACATCACATCATAGAATTACAGAATGTGACAGTTACAACACGTCATGGAGTCACAGAAATAGAATGTGACATTTACATCAAGCTATGGAGTTACAGTATCAGAATGTGACTTACGCTGAATTTTTAAAGACAATTCTTTGACTTATATGATTTCTACAAGGAGCCGCATTAGTGCAGTCAATAGGAGACTGGCTTTCAAATCTAGCTGCAACTCGCTGAAGCCCACTGCCGGTGTTCAAAACCGGGCGGTTCCAGGGGGTTCACCTGGCCTCTAGGTAATAGGTACCAGAGTTAACACTCTAGGATAAATGGAGAAACGTCGCTGTAGCTAGAGAGTTGCGTGCAGTTTTGACATAGGTGGACAGTTTCTTAACAGCTGTCTATACTGGTTGCAAAGCATTTGTGGCTTATAACCTTGTTCAATGATGCTGGTTCACATCTCTAACTTTTTTTTTTTTTTAGTTCTATGACTTAAACTGACTGTTAAATGATAATTTTATGAATTATACTGGCTACCTAATGATAGTTCTATGACTTAAACTATTCACATGACTGTTCTATGTCATACACAGACTATTACCTGACTGTTCATGACTTACACTGACTGCTACATGACTTAAACAGACTATTTCATGATTTACATTAAATGTTTCATGACTTTCACTGATATTACCTGAATGTTCATGACTTACACTGACTACTTCATGACTGTTTTATGACTTCCACTAACTATTGTATGACAGTTCTATGACTTAAATGACTACTACATGGCTGTTCTATGACTTACACTGACTACTTCATGACATTTCAATGTCTATTATGTGATTGGTCTATGACTTACACTGACTATTACATGACTTTCACTGACTATTACATGACTTTCACTATTACATGACTGTTCTATGACTTACACTATTTCATGATTTACACTGACTACAACATGACTTACATTGACAACTACATGACTTACATTGAATGTTTCATGACGTACACTGTTATTACATGACTCTGCACGACTTACACTGAAAGTTTCATGACGTACATTGACTACTTTATGACTTACACTGGCTACTTCATGACTTACACACTGACTATTACATGAACATTCTGAATTACACTGACTACTGCATGACAGTTCTATGACTTACACTGATATTACATGCAAATTCTATAAATTAAACAGATATGACACTTCTATGATTTACACTGCCTATTAAATGATAGTTCTATGATTTGCACCAACTATTACATAAGTGATCTATGACTTACTGGATATCCATTTGTCTTTTCTTGGTGGTTACTGTCAGCTGACTGAAAGAGATGACATCACAAGAAATAAACCAGTAGTATGGGACTGCTGTATGTTGCATATTACACAGTATTTGCTGCCACATGTGATATCAACAGTCAGCTAAACAACATCATCAGATGCTGAATCAGTCATGTAAAACTAGTTTGGTGCTATTCTGAACACATGTGGTAGTGAGGTTATTTCCTTCACCGAATAAGGTTTAGGTTTCAATAACAGATCAACATCATGTACGAAGGTAGTAACCCATAAACGCTTCGACTAAATGAACACAGTATTAGGTTACTTTCTTGACTGAATGAGCATAGTAGTAGTGGGATTATTTCCTTGACTAAATGAGCATAGTAGTGGGGTTACTTCCTTGACTGAATGAGTATAGTAGTAGTGGGGTTATTTCCTTGACTAAATGAGCATAGTAGTGGGGTTATTTCCTTGACTAAATGAGCATAGTATTAGTGGGGTTATTTCCTTGACTAAATGAGCATAGTAGTAGTGGGGTTATTTCCTTGACTAAATGAGCATAGTAGTAGTGGGGTTATTTCCTTGACTAAATGAGCATAGTAGTGGGGTTATTTCCTTGACTGAATAAGCATAGTAGTAGTGGGGTTATTTCCTTGACTAAATGAGCATAGTAGTGGGGTTATTTCCTTGACTAAATGAGCATAGTAGTGGGGTTATTTCCTTGACTAAATAAGCATAGTAGTGGGGTTATTTCCTTGACTAAATGAGCATAGTATTAGTGGGGTTATTTCCTTGACTAAATGAGCATAGTAGTAGTGGGGTTATTTCCTTGACTAAATAAGCATAGTAGTGGGGTTATTTCCTTGACTAAATGAGCATAGTAGTGGGGTTATTTCCTTGACTAAATGAGCGTAGTAGTGGGATTATTTCCTTGACTGAATGAGCATAGTAGTAGTGGGGTTATTTCCTTGACTGAATGAACATAGTAGTAGTGGGATTATTTTCTTGACTGAATGAACATAGTAGTAGTGGGGTTATTTCCTTGACTGAATAAACATAGTAGTAGTGGGATTATTTCCTTGACTAAATGAACATAGTAGTAGTGGGGTTATTTCCTTGACTAAATGAACATAGTAGTGGGGTTATTTCCTTGACTGAATGAACATATAGTAGTGGGGTTATTTCCTTGACTGAATGAGCATAGTAGTAGTGGGGTTATTTCCTTGACTGAATGAACATAGTAGTAGTGGGGTTATTTCCTTGACTAAATGAACATAGTAGTAGTGGGGTTATTTCCTTGACTGAATGAACATAGTAGTAGTGGGGTTATTTCCTTGACTGAATGAGCATAGTAGTAGTGGGGTTATTTCCTTGACTGAATGAGCATAGTAGTAGTGGGGTTATTTCCTTGACTGAATGAGCATAGTAGTAGTGGGGTTATTTCCTTGACTGAATGAACATAGTAGTAGGATTATTTCCTTGACTAAATGAACATAGTAGTAGTGGGGTTATTTCCTTGACTAAATGAGCATAGTAGTAGTGGGATTATTTCCTTGACTAAATGAGCATAGTAGTGGGGTTATTTCCTTGACTGAATGAACATAGTAGTAGTGGGTTATTTCCTTGACTGAATGAACATAGTAGTAGTGGGGTTATTTCCTTGACTGAATGAACATAGTAGTAGTGGGGTTATTTCCTTGACTGAATGAACATAGTAGTAGTGGGGTTATTTCCTTGACTGAATGAACATAGTAGTAGTGGGATTATTTCCTTGACTGAATGAACATAGTAGTAGTGGGATTATTTCCCTGACTGAATGAACATAGTAGTAGGATTATTTCCTTGACTAAATGAACACAGTAGTAGTGGGGTTATTTCCTTGACTGAATGAACATAGTAGTAGTGGGGTTATTTCCTTGACTGAATGAGCATAGTAGTAGTGGGGTTATTTCCTTGACTGAATGAGCATAGTAGTAGTGGTTAGACTGAATAGAGACATATGTAGAAGTGATACAGACTATCCTTGACTGAATGAACATAGTAGTGTGGGGTTATTTCAGGAATGAACATAGGATGGGGTTATTTGCAAACTTTGAACATAGTAGAGTGGGGTTATTTCAAAACTGAATATAGTTTAGTGGGATTATTTCACTGGAAATGACCTGAATATTTAGGGCAGTTTCCTTGAACTAAAAGCCAGGTGATGCCTGTGCGACTGAATAAACATAGTAGTAGTGGGATTATTTTCCCTGTGTGAATAAACAAAAGTAGTAGTGGATTATTTTCCTTGGTAAATAAAATAGTAGTAGTGGGATTATTTCCCTGACTGAATGAACATAGTAGTAGTGGGGTTATTTCCTTGAGTGAATGAAGCAGTAGTAGTGTTATTTCCTTGACTGAATGAACATAGTAGTAGTGGGTGTTATTTCCCTGACTGAAGGAACAAAGTAGTATTGGGATTATTTCCAGTGTGAACATAGTAGTAGTGGGGTATTTACTTGACTGAATGAACAGAGTAGCAGGGGTTATTTCCTTGACTTAATGAAGTATAATGGGGATTTCCTTGACTAAAATGAACATAGTAGTAGTGGGGTTAATCAGTTGAGGTGAATGAACATAGTAGTAGTGGGATTATTTTCTTGACAATGAACATAGTAGTAGTGGGATTATTTTCTAGACTAAATGAACAGTAGTAGTGGGGTTATTTCCTTGACTAAATGAACATAGTAGTAGTGAAGTTATTTCCTTGACTGAATGACATAGTAGTAGAGGGGTTATTTCCTTGACTGAATGAGCATAGTAGTAGTAGGTCCTTGAGAATGAGCATAGTAGTAGTGGGGGTTATTTCCTTGACTGAATGAACATAGTAGTAGTGAGGTTATTTCCTTGACTTAATGAGCATAGTAGTAGTGGGGTTATTTCCTTGACTGAATGAGCATAGTAGTAGTGGGGTTATTTCCTTGACTGAATGAGCATAGTAGTGGGGTTATTTCCTTGACTGAATGAGCATAGTAGTGGGGTTATTTCCTGGACTAAATGAGCATAGTAGTAGTGGGATTATTTCCTTGACTGAATGAGCATAGTAGTGTTAGACTATAGATGACATATGTAGAAGTTATACAGACTATAGATGACTGTTGCGTGTAGATTCAGGAGGGATGGAGGGGGAGTTGCAAACTTTGTTAAGGGACAATGTCGTGCAAACTGTATTTTTGTGAGTCCTCACTGGAATGTCTGGTGACCTGAATATTTAGGGCAGTGTTGACTTAAGCCAGGTGATGCCTGTGCGGCTTGAGTCAATATTATGAAATTTTGTTGACTTAGGGCTGGATGGACCAGTGGGTTCACAAAGTGTCAGCCTAGTGTGGGCAGATTATCATACTTAGTGGGTGGATAGCAGCAGTTGCACAGAAAAGTATAGGGTTGTTCATGAAGCGGAATCACACATAACAGTGAGCGTCTCATGTGCACGGAAGAGAGCACAAGGGGCAGGCATGTGTATATACTAGGGATAAGTTCAGTGGAGAGAGACAGCTCGAACAGTTGAGGTGAGAATGTTCGAGTCAGAAGCACTCGTAAAAGACTGGTCTAGAGGACAGTCGAGAGTGCAGTCGAAGCAACAGAAGTCCAGTTGGCAGAGCTGAGCCAAGAAAGCTGGACTACTTTAAGGAGAAGCTGTCTTGGGCGACGACGCATGTGAGGCGGCAGTGATCACTAGTAAAACATGACAGCAGAGATGTCGGCGACAGTTGTGTGCTGAAGAGGACTCAGAGCTCGGAAGTCTTCCGCTCATTAGGGTTTTGTCAACCAGGCTGATGTGCTGTGTGCACATGCTGTAGATCAATCATCCAGTCAGCCGATGTGACAGTGTCTGCTACGTATAAAGAAACGGAGGTCAAGTTGAGTAGATGTATCCTGTTCATCCTTACAGGGAGTCCTGAAGTGTGGGTAGCTGGAGACCTAGGCACTGTAGCCATCAGCTCAACGTGTGGTGGCAGCTAGAGTAGGCTGTCCAAGAGAGCACCTATACACCAGTTTGAGTGAGCAAAGCGTGGGACATTCATTTTATTATTAGCCATTAATGTGTATGACTACTTCCCTTGCATTATTATATGTGCGGGTTTGTGTATACCCGATCATACTTGTGACAATATATGTGCATATATGGCGGCAACATGTCGTTGAGTTTTCCTGACAGTTTGTGTGCAAGTTGGGTACAACAGTTTGTGTGCAAGTTGGGTACAACAGTTTGTGTGCAAGTTGGGTACAACAGTTTGTGTGCAAGTTGGGTACAACAGTTTAGAGTGTGAATCATATCCTGGACACTTGGTCTGCCCATTAAGAAACTTTGGCACACAACAATTACATATGTAGAAGTTATACAGACTGTAGATGACATATGTAGAAGTTATACAGACTGTAGATGACATATGTAGAAGTTATACAGACTGTAGATGACATATGCAGAAGTTATACAGACTGTAGATGACATATGTAGAAGTTATACAGACTGTAGATGACATATGTAGAAGTTATACAGACTATAGATGACATATGTAGAAGTTATACAGACTGTAGATGACATATGTAGAAGTTATACAGACTGTAGATGACATATGTAGAAGTTATACAGACTGTAGATGACATATGCAGAAGTTATACAGACTGTAGATGACACATGTAGAAGTTATACAGACTATAAATGACATATGTAGAAGCTATTGTCAGGGACCTACTATATTATCTACTTCCTATGGCCCGTTAGGTAGGCCAGCTAACAGACTTAACTACCCTAGAACACACTTAAAACACACACCTACGGAGTACACACATAATTTTGAATGTACAAAGAACAATTCAACTTATAGCAAGCCTCAACAAAGGTGGCTATCCTTATCTGAAACGAGGGCGTTGGTAGCTTTTATATTCACTAAACCAATTCGAGCCGTTCACATGGATATACCAAGGACTCGATTCCACCTCACTGTCGTACAGCGCTAAGCTGCCGCCCTCGCCACGCGGGACTCAGTGATACACATAA